TAGTCTTGATAGTGTCCATGTGGGCTTCCACTTGGCTAAGAAAGTTGTGCCGATATGTCTGTAACAACATCAGTAGCGGAATGCCTTAGCATTATGAGGACAAGTTACAAAATTGTTCAATATAATCTTTGACCGAATCATTTCCCCTCTATTTTTCTAAAAGGATTCTGGCCATTGTTACATAAGATTAGTCCTCATGGAATTAGGACAATAACTGTGATTCCAAGTTAGCTCAAGATTTAATTGATCCTTCGGCTAGATTCTGGAACCAATCAAAGTCTATCCCGTGATGGGTGCCAATAAAAAGTCGCATCTTGATAGCATTATTTCCTATTGTATTTCCTATTTATTGATGGAAGTAGTAGATGTATTGATTGCATGATCCCTTGCCATCAAATATATGTAACATCGGCGGCTTAAACTTTATTGGGTAAGGAACTGAGTCCCACTAAATGGGATAAGTTTGGGTGATTGCATTCTTTAGCTCTATCCTCTGTGTAAGAGCATTGAGTTGGTTTTGGATGCTTTTGAATATTTTCAATTTGCGCTTCATCTTCAGTGGACTGAATGTCTTAGACTTCAATCTAGAGGAGAAGACATCTTCTTGGTGCCTTATAGAGGAAGATGTCAACTAGCCTCTTCCCTTTTGAAGTGCTTGCAAGGGTCTGGGAAGTGAGCAGCAGTCGTTAAAGAATATTTTTGAGTCGATTGAAGCACTCATCAGATTTATTCTCTTGGGCTTCAATCCAGGCGAATAAGATCATCGATGGCCTCTCTGTCTACAATGTTGGCAGTGCACTCCTGCTTTTGCCTTGAGTTAGGAGTTATGTTTGATGTTATAGCCGAGTTAGCATTGCTTATGGGAGGGATTATCCACCCGTGAAGAAGTTCATTGAATGTGCATCCTCACAATGGAGTAGTCGATGGGGACAATTCCCCCCAAATCTTGATCTAGTACAATGATAGACACCATTGGTCTCAAAAAGTATGCTTCCTATTCTAGGAGAATATCTTGGATATGCCAGGCTATCATCATCATCATATTCTTCCAAGGTTACTCTGGTCATGTTAACTATGAACTCTTAGGGATCGACGTTGAAAGTTACCTTGTCCTTATAAGATTGCAATCACTACTTGTTCCTAAACTCTGGAGGTTTGGTAAATAGGCTAAGATGGGAAAACACCGACTCTTTGACAGATGGAGACTTACATAGGTAACTCAATTGAACTGCTGATACTATCTCCTTTAGAGCGGAGCAAGGTTATTCAATTGAACTGCTGATACTATCTCCTTTAGAGCTAAGCAATGCTAACATTGTCATGCCCTTTTTTTAGAGGGGAACTCCCTTACAACAGAGGGAGTATCAGCTTGACTATTTTTGTGGCGGTCGCTCTTCTTAAAGGCAACTTTGTTGGGTTGGACCTTGGCATTAGAGCATCGCCTGAGATGATGTTTCTTTGGCCTATGATTGACGTGGCCAATTGTGGCTTCATCACAAGTCTGAACTTGTGATTGACACCGAGAATTTCCTTAGGCGATAGTTTTCCCTTTGGGAACTTGATTGGAGGGTAACCTCATTTTTGACTTCTTTTAAGGAAGCAAGATGAACGTTAGGAGACACTTCAAAGCGAATCTTGAGAAAAAGGGCATGACAATGTCCAAATTTAAGATATACTTGAACATCCTGATCTTTGCTCGAGGGTAAGGGTTGCTAAGACTTCACTCAGGGCAAAGCTCATTTTGCCTCTAGCGATACTGAGGCTATATTTGGTAAAATTCGCTTCACCTTGCATGAATCTAGGTTTATCTTCACCCTGAGTGAAATTTGCTTTGCCTCTAGCGAAGCTGGGCCTATCTTTAGTGAGGCTCACCTTGCTGTGGGTGAAGCTCAGCTCTAAACCCGGTCTTGGACTTCGATGAATCTTATAGTAGCTTTTGGTCATAGCCATAACTGTCTTCTTAGAGGAGATGAACTCCTCAAAATTTACTCGATCAAATTCGATGACCAACGATTTTGCAATAGACCTAAGGCTTCAGTGTCGGACTGTGACACGATCTTCTCTTCAGTTAAGAAGGAAGTCCACAGCAGAGCCGCAATCCTATTTTTGATCTTAAAAATTAATAATAAAATAAGATTTATAATTCTCAAGATTACTAAAAATAGATAATTTTATAAAACTGGGTTCTTTTCTGTATGCTGCTGGAAGGTTGTTCTTGTCTTCTATGACGATTCTAGCAGTAAATGATGAGTCTTTTACCCGTTAACAGTTTCTGAGTTAATAGATAACTATTTATAGGTTTGGGAGCATTAAGTGGATGAGTTAGTAGGCCTTAACTCCCCTTAAATAGGTGAGTTAGTCGCCATGAACTTCCCTTAAATGGATCTATGAAAATCAATGAGAATTTGGGGCGGAGGGGGGTGCAGTCCGAGCAGTAGATGATGGGTCTATGAAAATTGATGAAAATGGAGGGGAGACGAGCTCTTTGTCGATGTAGCCTCTGAATCTCTCTTTACCTCTCCTCAAATGGTAAAAGGCCTAGCTAAGAACAATACCAACCCCGATATCTTTTCTCCGCCCACCCTCCTCTATGTTTATCATGCCTATTTATAGACTTGGAATCATTAAGTAGTTAGTGGGTCTTGACTCCCATTAAATGGGCGAATTAGTAGTCATCAACTTTCCTTAAGTGGGTGAGTTAGTGAGGTAAACTATTTTCTCAAAAGTAGCTTTTGAAAATAGCTATGGGCGGGGTTTGCTAATAACAACCATAGGCGAAGTTTGTTGAGTGGACTTCACCAGAATATGAATACCCTAATTTCTTTGAAACATGGGTGATGAGAACCATAAGGACTATTGGGTGAAGCTCGATTGGATGAGCTTTACTGCAGCTTGAGCAAGCTTCGCTGCAACTTGGGTGAGTTTCGCTATGACTTGAACGAGCTTCGCTATGAGCGTGTGCTTGGGCCATATCTGATCTAATGTTTAGTCCATAGCCATCTACTTCTTGGGCTCAAGTGTCAGACTTGTACCAAGTATCGATCCAGGACTTGAGAGATCAACTATATGTGGAAGGGGCCTGTATATTTTGATCGTCTATAAGAAATAGAAGAAAGGGAAAATTTTTGAGATTATATAGGTTTGAGGGGGAATTTTACCATTGAAGGAGCTCAACTTTGAATTAGGAGGTTTCTAGCTATTAGAGAAGATGAAGTTTATGAGCTAAGGGGAATGAGTTATGAATTTAAGCCCGTTAAGTCGAGCACATGTTAGTTATGAATGAGGGTATGACAGTCGGTCCCTCTTATTTGGTTAAACAAGGCGGAATATTCCCCACAAACCTAGATCTATAAAACTAGATGCTAAGAATCATATTAGAATCATGTTGATTTGCATCATAAATAGAAGAACTAAAATTTTCAAACTAACCCCTAATCACCCATGAAAGTTATATATCACCCATTTCTATGGGTGTGTTCTGATAGAATAGAGACTCTAAACTAGACATACGAAATTACAAGAGCCATATATATTTGAGGGATTAATGAGCAAATACTTACATTTAAGAGAGTAGATGGAATCATGGTGATATTTTTTTTGGATGAATTATGGTGATATTTAAGAGACTAATATCTAAATACTTACTTCATATCGTCTGCTTATTGAGAGAGAGAGAGAGAGAGAGAGAGAGAGAGATGCGGGAGGGCTAAAATTGATGAAATAATTGCTAACCCTCCCACATCTCTCTCTCTGTCAATCAGACGATCTAATTATAAATTAATATAATTAATTAGCTTAGTTTTTTTTTGAATCTGGAACTAATTTCATTAGAAGTTTCAATGGGGGTAAAAGAAGAGAAATCTCATCGGGGGTTTCTCTCACCCAAGAAGTACAACTAGAAAGATTTAAAGAAAGAGTAGCCAACCGATCGATGAGCTATCTTATTTACATTGCGTCTAACAAAATGATAAAAAATGGATGGAAAATATTTTTTTCATAAACTTTAACTCCTTCGATGATGCTTCCATTACTTGCTAAAGACTCCTCCACCATTTTTCACTCTTGAACAATTAATTAGTTTACTTAGGGATACATTAGTGAAGAAAATTGAGGGGTAGAATAAACCATCATGGGATATTTCAATGGTATAAATTAGCAAATATCTAGACTCACTAAAATCGTCCTGTGAAATATTTGCCAAAATTTCATAACGGATAAAAGGAGTGACAAATTCACTCATGGGTCAATTTGTCAAAATCAAACTACACAAATGGTAAGTTCAAAAGAGTGATAGTACAGGGTTCTATGTGCAGATAACCCCTAAAAATTCAAAGTCCTCATATACTTAATTAGAGCCTTAAACAACTTAACTAAGGATGTGATTGCAAACAATTGCCTTTTATTATTAGTTTTTAGTCTGATTTATGCTCTTATGTCACTGTGGGTATTTTCTTGAGGTCAGTTAGGAAAGAACCACAGGACATTGTCTTGATGTACTCGAATGATTACTTTTGAGGCAAGCTTGTCGCCAGCCCCTCCCTCGTTTTCAGAGGTTGAAGCTTGCAAGTAAGTACGTAGAAATCGACCCAACCTTTGATAGGACACAAAGATTCCCTCTTCCTCCAACATCTTTAACTCTTGTATTCACATAAACGAACAAGGCATCCAATAAAGGTGGAAGAAAACAGTAAAGGCTGAGCTGATATAGTGATATGTGCAGCATATATACTTTGCTGCACTATTATATTCCTACAAATTGACCAAGACTTCAGTCTCATAAAAAATTTGAATATGTGCAAGTTTGTATGCACAAGCAAAGACTCCAGACTGCAAATTCAACTGGTCAATGATGGGGGGGTAACATGAATGCTTATTTTGCCTGACAATACTTTACATTGCGCCTCCCCTCGCCTCGCCTCGCCTCACCTCCTCGAATCTCCTACCAAAACGAGCTTTAAAGAGCGACACACATGCCATAGACTTCTCAACAATATCTCATGTATAAGGAAAACAAATAAATAAATTTCCATTCATGGTAATATCCACAATACCAAGTTTAGACTGAAAATGCTGATTCTTTGGCCAACAAGTAGTACTATAAACTACCAATTCCCACCTTACTACTGCCTGTCAAAACAAAATCCATAAATTTGTACTCAATGTTGTATGTATAATTGTTTGTATATCTATATCTGTACATGTATATCTTCTTCACCACCCCCTCAAGCAAGCAGTCCTAACGATATTACTTATAACTCATCTTCCTGGATAAATAGTAGCTTGTGATCCTCAAATTTTAGGAAATGTTGAATCGCTTAGTAGCTTGCAGGCTACACTCCATATTAATGTCTTTTTTCAATCAGTGTAAATATAGGACTGAGGAAACCATCTTGATAGGAGGTTGTGTTTCATCTTTATGATCACTGGGAAAATTGCGTAGCAAGGGATGTGCATCAACGCCACCAACAAATACCTGAAACCAAAACAAAAGTAACTTCACGGGATCTTGATTTTCTGTAAGGGCATCTGTCGTAGGGAAAAATAATAGTACATAGAGAAAATGTTAACTACCAAAAAGAAATAGCACGAAAATGATCGCGTTATATGTTCTCAGTTATGACAGAACGGGTAAGTAGTGTTTGGCAAATAGAGAAGGCAAAGAGAGAATACCATAGTGGGGCTTGAGGTGATGACAAGTCGAGAAATGGATATGGCCACCTGCAAGGAATAAGATATTAGGTTGAATTCCTACAGAAGAAAAGAAAGCACAACTAGATTTTTTTAAAAAAGTAAATAAATGTATTAAACTCCAAGATTACCATATCGAGACGAAAGCATGTAGGAGCCACTGAAATATGACAAACCCTGACGTCCACAGGAGAAAGTATGAAATCCGGAACCAGGGGAACCGCTACAAAGAGCAATGCATGAAGAATATTATAGTAGATGAAGCAAATTGAGTAACAACAAATCTTTTAACAATGATTTGAGAATTAAATCTTATGAGAATAATGTTTACCAGGTTATTAAGAGCAGTATCCCCGAGAAGAAAAATGGCATTAACGGAGTGCATACCAATCAATATCTACAAAATGAGGACACATATTACATATTTTCCAACAATGATAACAGGATGTTTTCTGTAAACATCGAGTATTGTACAAGGAAGATGGCATTATACGAAGAATCACAAAAAAATTTCCTGAGGCTAACAATATCCCTTAATTTAACATTGACTTTTAAGAAAATCACAAGTATATAAAGATTGGATCGGAACTGAATACTTACAATATTCAGGTCATAATCTTTGATGGCAAGGAAAGGGAAAATGATAAACCAGAATACACAATCAGTTAGCATCACAGCACCTGCATTCGTCTGTTCATAGTATTAAAAAGATCAAATCAGATGTTAACTATATGTATGTATATATAAAGTGTTAAGTATGGTTAAAACTAAATGAATTATATGCTGGTTTTAAGGTGGTCATGAGATATGATTAAACTAACTACTAGTTTTTCTGCTGTAATTTATCTCCCGATTTCTGTATTAACTTGTATGATATGATGATGATATGGTTAGATGACGGACAAATACTTTTCATCTGAATGTTTACGTCTAATTTCTAAAAATCAGCAAAGAGTAGCGCGTGGATTCTTCATCATAAATAGTTGGCATGTAGAAACCGGCCTCCTTTTTTAAAAAACGAAAAGGTTCATCCTCTAGGATTTCTCATAGGCCCTCTTTACCAAATTCTCTTTTGTTCCCCTCTGAAATCCAGTATCCTTAATCAAGCAATCGTGCAAATTAACAATTCCTGTAAACTGATACAACAGCCCATTTAACTTTTACCAACTAATAAATGAATAAGATTAGATATCTGACCTGATAGATGATTTGGAACACATAACCCCAAATTCCAGCAACTTTTCGGACATTGTGTTCCTCATTAAACACCGAGTTTTTGATTGTTCGGTGAACAGTTTCACTCCTCTCACTGATGTGTGCTGCATATACACCACGCTCTGCATCTAAGCTTGATCCATTCATCATATCACCACCCATTTTCTTGAGATATTGGTGGCAGCCATAAGCGGACAGTAAAGAACCAAGCTGAAAGATATGGTTTATTATGTAAACGGCGTGCTCATATCAGGTGATATATTGAAAACCAATTGAAACAATAGATGAATATAATGGAAGATATCAACCATCACAAAGTGCAAGCATGCACATCAAGCACCCAAGTGCGCGCGCACACACTCACAGGCACACACATGTTTACTCTGTAATATATGGTTATGAGGAAGGACATACCCCAAAATATACAGTGACAAGAACAAAGGTCCACCTGTGAAACAACGAATGGTTATGAGGAAGGACATACCCCAAAATATACAGTGACAAGAACAAAGGTCCACCTGTGAAACAACGAAATTAATCAAACATCAACCGACAAGAACAAAGGTCCACCTGTGAAACAACGAAATTAATCAAACATCAACCGACAGAAAAATGGTCTCAAGAACGACTAAGAAACAGGACTACCCTATTTTATCTCAAATGTGCAACTTTAAACAATAAAAAATATGCATGTCTGTGAAAAGATATGAAGGGAAACCAGCTTACTGAGTGTAGTAGTAGAATATGCTAGCTCCGTCAATAATAACATTAGTAATGAGCAATGCCAGAAGGAGAAAGAAGGCTAGAACTCGAAAAGCAAGCAGCCAGGCAGGATGGATTAGCTTAAGACAAGGCATCCATGACTCATCATCATAGAGGAAACCCAATGCCTTTCGACGGCTTTCCGCTCCCTCTTCTCTCTCCGAGTCGGAGCCTTCATACTTCCATATCAAAATGGCAGCCACCATCATTGAGATCAATATCCAAACCGCACATAACAAAACCCTCCAATTCAACCAATAGTATGAAACGGTGGTATTCGCGGTCATGCCCGGTTGCCACGAGTGCTCTGAAGCTCCTGTCGAGAAATGCATTCCACAATTATTCACCACTCAATTTTTTTTTTTTCCGGAAACTCACCACTTTTCCTCTCCGGTTAATTTATTCTCTTCTTTTAAATCTACCTCACAGCCCCGGATACATAGAAAGAATATGAATCACAGGGTGTTGCGAAAAACCACTCGACGGAACCCACGAAAAGAATTTACGGACGATCGACGACAATAGGACGGGTCGGACCCTCATGTCAAGCAGAGGTAGATCAAAAGAAGGGAAGAATTAGGGGAAGAAGAACAGAAAGAATCCACGAACAACAACCACAGATCAGTTCGCCGACCAAAGTGCAAATGTGGAGGCGATTGATGGGTAGGTAGAAGAGTCCAACAGAATGAATGCTATCCATGCA